AGGCTGGTGTGACTGGAGAAAAGCCTGAGAGGGGAGTGGAAGGAGACAAGGTCCGGGAGGGCAGGCAGCAGAAAGGGGAGCTTCTGGATCCTGGGAGTGCCCTGGTGCAAACCTCTCTCCTCTCTAGTCTCCCAGAAAGATGAACAGCGCCATCCCCTCCGGGTGGCAGGGCTCTTTCCAGCTGGCCAGCTCCTCCCCCCTCCCCTTGGAGCCTCCGTTTACAGCTGGAGAAGTTGAGTCTAGAGATGTCACAGAGCCAGAGGGATGAGGTGCCCCAGCCTTGGGCCTCTAGCTGCCAGCCCTGCCACTCCGCCGCACGGATGCGCCCATCTAAATGCAAGTCTGACACTCAGCCCTGGGAGTTGGAGCTGGAGGTCAGACCAGCAACAGCTTGACTCACCAACATCTCTGGAATACCAATGGGGGATGCGGGGACACAGCAGGGAGATGAGGCTTTAAATTTTCCACCGTGCGAGGGACAGGACATCCTTCAAGGAGCAGGCCTGAGGCTCCCACGTCCCTTCCCGCCACACCCAGAAAGGCCCTCCCATTCTCACCCTAGGAGTACAGGCCTAGATGTGCCCAGGGTGCTGGAATCACTCATTAGAGAACCAAACTCCCAAGGTGGCCCCATGGAGATGCCCCTGCCCAGAGCTGACCTGTGTGTCCTTCCTATGACGTGCACCAGAGATCAGGAGGCCATGCTGGATTCAAATCCCACTCCTGCTACTTGCCAGCTGTGTGGCCTCAGGGGATTTACTTAACCTCTCTGAGCCTCAGTATTGCCATCTGTATAATGGAGTTGTCTTGAAAGACAAATGAGTTAACATGTATGAAGCACATAAAATGGGGTCTGGTCCACAGGAGGGCTCCGTAAATGTTACCTACTAATATTATCCATTGTCCTGTCACCCACACAGGAGCCCTGGGCTCTAACACTCAACACTTCCTTGTGATCTTAGGCCCCTTGACTTCCCTGAGCCTTGGTTGTCCTCATCTGTAAAATGGAGCACTAGTGCAAGTAAACTGAGGCTCACACAAGGCTGTGGGGGTATACAAGTTCATACTCCAGACCCCAACCCCCGAGAGCACCCAGGACAGTGGTGGGAGGCACCAAGGGCGGGGCCCCATCTGTGCCACCCCCTCTAGCCTTCATCTCCCTCCAAGGGTGACTCACTCACATTATCTCCAGAGCCCAGGCAGGGCCTGCTCTACGTACCTAATCCCAGGCCTGGTTGTGTCCCTAGCCTTTCCCTTGGGCAGCCTCTGCCTGGCAGGGAGAGGGGGAGCCCTGCAGCCAGAAGGCAGCGCATACCACACAGATGGGGGATGCGCCCGACACCCCACAGAAGCACACACACGCCCACGACCTGCTGCAGACACCAGGGCAAGCAGGCTGGCCTGGGCTCCTGTGATTTTGTCCCTCATCCTGTCCTTGGACACTGCCTGTGGCCCCATGCAGGGCCCAGCACCACCCCCTCAGGCCTTCCATCACTCCCCGGGCCTCCCCAAGAGCAGCTGGCACCAGAGAGGGCTGGGACCCAGGCAGCCAGACCCCTAATAATAACCCTCCAATGTGCGTTCCTGAGCACCTACCTCCATGGGCCGGGAGCACGTTTCATTCTGATAACAACCAGTTTCATCCCCATTTCGCAGATGAGGAAACCAAAACCGAGAGAGGCTGAGTGACTTTCCCAGAATCACGCGGCCAGCAAGTGGCTGAGTCGGAGCCCAGGTCTGTCTGCCGAGGCCTGTTCCTTAACCATGCACTGCCATCTCTGTGATATAAGCTGGGGGAGACGGATAGCGTGGGGTAAAGGGCCTAGGTCTGACAGCCTGGCTCCAAGTCCTGCTCCAACACCTCAGTGTGTGAGCCTGGGCCAGCCACTTCACCCCTCTGAGCCTCAGTTTCCTCATCTGTAAAAGGGGGACAAAACACTGGGCCCACAAGATTGTCATCAGGATTCATGAAAGTGCAGTGAGGCTGCCTGGCACAGTGCAGGGTTCAGTCAAGGGCCACAGGCTGGCTCAGGGCATAATCCACATGACCAAGTGATTGGGGTGGGAGGGCACTGCTGATGGGGACTGGAAAGTGCAGTGCCAGAGCTTTCTCTAAGCCCTGTGCCAACGGCCCAATAGTGCTGGGTGCTACCCAGGAACTCCCCACCCAGAGGATGGAGCTGGGTTCCAATCCTAGCTCCTCCACGTTCTGGCTGTGTAGCCTTGGGAAAGTGACCTACCCTCTCTGGCCTCAGTTTCCTCATCTATAAAAAGGCCATAATTATGCTCCCTGAAGGACCCAGAGCCCAGCACACAGGAGGCACCCAGGATTTGCTGGCTGAGTTCTCACCAGGGCTCTGATGTACACCCTCAGCCTGGCAAGCGCACCCTCCCGTCCTCCCCGCTCCCTGGCACTCCTCTGAGCAACGCTTAGATGATTTATACTTCAGAGGATGAATCAATACAATATACAGCCAAAGACATCTTTAATCTTTCACAGGAATTAGGCAAAAGGTACAGCGGCCCCTTTCTACCGGCCGCTCGATTCTGATTTCAATTTGGGCAGCTGGAGCGTGGCTTTCTCTCTCCTTTTCTTTTCATTTGCCTAAAGATGGTTCTCCAAATCAAATTTCGTTTAGCAGCCGGGGCAGGAAGACCTAGCTGCCCAGCCAGGGCCCCGGGGCTGCACACCCTGCCAGGGGGTCTGCAGACGAGGGAGGTCCAGCCAGGTGGGAGGCCAGACCCTCAGCAATGGGAAGGAGTGCAGGCGGCAGGGGCACAGCTGTGCCCCTGTGCTGGGCCCGGGCAGAGCAGCTAGTTCTCTTATTTTTCTACGGGTCCTTTTAAAAATCTTGAGTAGACTTTCTATTTTCTAACTAACTCAATGCCTGATTAGATGTTTGCAGAAAATTCAAACAGTAGCCTTAGCTTCAGCCAAAACGCAATGCCCTGACCTCACCCCAATCCCATGCCTCTCCCACGCTTAACACATCAGCATGTGTCCCTCCAGGCCAAGTGTGTGTGTGTGTGCGTGCGTGCGTGTGCGTGCGCGCACGTGACTGTCACACCCCCATCCCTTGCACAGGACTGGTTCACATGGGTCTCAGTTACTGCAGTGGGAAATGGGCAGAAGACAGAGTGACAAAAATACAAAGCAGTTAAGACCTCTAGTTTTGGAGCCAGCTCGCCTGGATTCAAATCCCTTCTCCACCTCTAACTTGCTCTGTGACGTGGTGCCAGTTATTTGGTGTCTCTGAGCCTCAGCTTCCTTCCCTGGAAAACGGGAGTACCTGCTTCATCTGGTGGGGCAGGTTACCCCGAACACCCGGTATAAACAGGGGCTCGGCATGTGCCAGCGGCACAGGGAAGGCTATGTTGAGTACAGGGAGTGGCTTCCAGGTCCCTATGGCAGGGACCAAACGCAACTGAACACTAAGATTCTGGACCTCTGTCCTTGCCTCCATCCAGCACTTTTGTCCCCAAATCCAACAGAGGTTGCACCTGAATCAGAAAGGCAGTGGGCTTGTTTGCGGAAGGACTCAAGCCATCAGGGGAGAGAGGACCCTGCAGAGCAGGATGGGTGGAGCCAGTGCAGAGAGGTACCCAAGTCTGAGCAAAGAAAGAAAGGATTTGTGGGCAGTCAGAGGGAGGGGCAGGGCGGGGGGCTGGGGCCTGACACTGCCCAGCCTGCCTGCAGGTGGGAATGGGGTCTGTCCACCCCCTGCTTCCTTCCGTGGGGGCCCAGCTGCTGGAGCCGCAGCCATCAGTCAGCACTGCCCCACTTCCACCACCCGGCCGCCCTCGCTGCCAGGTTACAAGCACCCGAGCTGCTTCGGCTGTACAATTAAAGGGGCTTGTCTGAGATTTATAGCAGGATTATGCCCGCAGGGTGTTACCAACGCCAGCCTCTGGACACTCTGTGGTCCTTAGGAAAAGCAATTAGAGTTCCGGGGCTCTCCGGGTATAAATATAGAGACGCCATCCCCCAAGGTCGAGGGCGCCACAGTGAGCTATTTAGAGACGGGGCCTTGGGAGAGGCCAGGAGAGGAGGCAGAGGGGCCCTGTCTGCGGGGAGGAGGGTCCGCCAGGAGCGGAAGGGCCTCCCTGCTTCCCTCCGTGCCCCACGCAGCACGGGAGCCGTCCCTTGGCCCCCACAGCTCTGAATCAGCTTGGCAGCGCTTACCAGCCCAGGTGGAGCCCCTAACCCAGGGGCCTGTCTGCTGCCCTGGACGCCCACACACACAGTCCCACGCAGGCTGTCCTGCCTCAGTGTGACCATCGGAAAGGACCGGCCAGAGGCCCAGGTCTGGGCCTGCCGTGGAGGTAACCCTTGCTTGCTTAGCCTCTCCTTGCTTGCTGATAACTATCACTCTGGGGATGGCAATTCAGGAACGCAGTGAGCTCGGCGGGGCAAGGGGGCCTGTGGTAAGTGGGGAGGATCCGAGGAGAGCACGTCACTTTCCCACCCTTCCCCGAATCCCACCCACAGGGCACCTACCTCCCTGAGGCCGGCACAGCCCCACCGCAGCCCCTGCCCCTCACCGCACGGCCCAGGTTTAAGGACTCTGAATTCCCAGTCCCTCAAACAAATCCTTGCTCCAAGAAGCTGCTGGTTGGCCTCTGGCTCCTGGGTCCCTGAGACTCCACTGAACAAGCCCACCTCCATCCCCACCTCCATCCCCACCTCCATCCCCACCTCTCTGCCTGAGAACAGGGGCTGTCCCATCAGCTCCCATGCTGGGGATACTGACAGTCCCTCCGTCTGCCCAGCCATGTCCGCAAAAGTCACTCACATCCAGCCCCCAGCCCCCAGCAGTCACCCAGCCACCCGCGCACAAGGCCACAGGCTCAGAGGAGAAACTCAGGCCCCTGAGAGGGTGGTCCGGGGCAGCAGAGCCCAAGGCAGAACCCAGGGAGCGGCTCCCGAGCAGCGCTCGGCCACCACGCTGTGACATGCCCCCGTCCCCAAGCATGACCGCGACGGCGGGCGCCGGACTCACCGTCCTCTCGGAACTTCTGGATGAAGGCCTCCACGCCACTCTCACCGTAGCTGCCCTCCGAGGCTAGCGTGGACACGTAGTTCCACTTGAGGGCACGGACGATGTCCACCATGGCCTGGGCCTGGTACGTGTCCGACGGCACCACACGGGAAAAGAAGTCGTAGCGGCTGTTGTCACTCAGGTCGGGGGCTGTGGAGGCGTAGCTGATCTGGGGGATCTGGGGGCGAGAGGGGCCACTGATGGGGGCGGCTGGCACCTCACCCTGCCCGGCCAGCACCAGCCCCTACACCCCGACCTGCCTCCCATCCCATGACCTTGGGACCGCCCCCCCCAGCCCTTCCCACGGGCACTGCCTCCTCTCGTCCTGGGGGAGACCCCTTGACATGGGCTGAATAGGTCCCAGCCCCACTTGACAGAGGAGGAAACTGAGGCCCAGAGAGGGTGGGCAAGTGGTTGGTCAGCCCCACCCCTGGCTCTACCCAGGGTCCCAATGCCTCCCACCCCAACTCAGCTCCCCTGCTCCCGTCTCTCCCCAGGCCTCTCCCCTTTCCCAGCAGGAGTGAGGCTGGCATCAGGGTAAGAAGTGAGAGGCATGTCAGCATCAAGCCCTCCTCTAGAAAGTCTCCCAGCCCACCTCACCTGGGTCTTGTGGCCGGTGGTCCCTCAATAACAAACACGTACACACCCCCGAGTCCTAGGAGATAACGCACATGCCTGTACACACATACACGCACGTGCTAACACACACACACACACACACACACACACACACACACACACACCCCACGGGATCCTCTGGGTGCCTCAATTTACATAAAGAGTTAGAACATCCCAGCTGGAGAGAATCCCCAGATGGTTGGCCCAGGGATGGAGTGGGAGTGGGGATGGGGTGGGGATGAGGGTGGTGAGAGGGGCCTGAGGGTTTATCTGGTCCACTCCCTGCCCCCAGGCAGCCTTTCTTGTCACCACCCAGCAGACCCCATCCCCACAGCTCCCTCTGGGCCCAGGCTCCTTCCTCCTGCCCGGCTCAGAGAGGACAGAGCCCAGGTTCCAATTCCCGCAGCCCTCGCTCCACCCCACAGATTGAATCCCAGAAGGCCAGAGAGACTGAGGCCTCCGAGAAACCCTCTCTCTGCAGCCTGGGACACAGGGCCCACCCGGTGCCACAGCCTCTCAACGGCAGACTCCGGGCCTCCTGGCCCCAGCCCGGCTCCCCCAGTCACAGGGCACCTTTCTGCCCTCACACCTCCCACCTGGCCCCCCAGGCAAAGGTGGGACACGGAGCTCTCAAGGTACCATTCCTCCTGTGGTTGACATCCAACATCCCCAAGGGACATGAAAGGGATCGTGTGGACCCTCCTGAGCCTCCCCCACCTTCCCCCCGCCCACATCCCAGGTGCCCTCCTCACAGGGCTCTCATCTGCCCCGGCTCCCCAGGACCGGCCAGTGGCCCGTGCTCTCCACCCCCTGCCTTGGTCCACACCAACATGTACCCTTCCTGTGTGCCCTTTACCCTGCCCTCAGTCGTCCACGGTGACAGGGTGAAGGGCTGGGCATACTGATCTGGGCTGATGTCAAATCCAAGATTGATTCCCCCTAAGGAATAATTAAGATTCAATCCTGGCAGAAAAAAATTAATGGCCAGAATTTTAGTCCACATGGCAACTGAGGGTGGGAAAAAATTCCAGAGCCAGAGGACACCGGGAGTCCCCTGCACATGGATTTGCCCACCTGGCCTCTGCCTAGGGTGTGCCTATCCCCAGGGACAGTGCGGGGGTCCACCTTCCACTTGGGTATATACTCAACCTGCTCTGAAACTAAACAGGGGCAAAGCTGCCTCCCGGGAGACAGCCAGGGGCTAGAGGTGGGGTTGGGCAGGACCTTCCACCTTAGACCCTCTGTATGGTTTCCACGTAGAACTACGCAAATACAGCACGTGTTTAGAAAGCAAACCTCATTGGGATGTCCCAGAGCACGTGCGTCCCTCTGCCTGCCTGAGTCAGCAGTGTCTGAACACTAGCCCGGTCCTCTCGGCCCTGGAGGGCACTTAGCATGAAAGCAGCACCCCCTACAATGCGGACTCTGACTGGACATTTGGTGATTCATTCAAAAAGTATCGTTGTTTTTAAGGTCTGATGATGGTATTATAGCTGCGGTTGGCTGGCTGGTTTTTAAGCCCCTAGCTCTTAGAGCGCGGTTTCCCCACCTCAGCACTCACTGTTAACGCTTGTGGAGGGGAGTGGGGTGTGATTCTTTGTTGGCGGGCTGTCCTGTGCCTTGTAGGATGTTTAGCCGCACCCTTGCCCCCTACCCACTAGATGCCAGTAGCACACCCCTCCCCCAGGTGTGACAACCAAAAATGTCTCTAGACATTGCCAAATGTCCCCTGGGAGACAAAACTGTCCCCAGTTGAGACCCACCATTTCAGAGATATGTACTAAAATATTTAGGCATGAAGTGATATGATGAGGTCTGGGATTTGCTTCAAAAGAATCGCTGTGGGAACGTGTGTAAGAAGAAATAAGACTGGCCGAGAGCTGACAACTGTTGACTGGCGTGGACGCGAAGGTACACTGCCCTTTTTGTTGTACTTTTGTGCGTGTCTGAAATGCCTACATTTAAATTTTTTGACAGTAAAACAACAGAACAAAATAAATGTCACCCTTGGGGTCATCCCTCTGAAGAGAAGCGCCCTGAATCTGGAGCTGGCAATGGAGATGCAGGGCCGCCACAGCAGGTCCCTGAGAGAAGATGGCCGTGTTTGTTTGTTTGCCAGCTCACCTCTGCCAGCCCTAATCACACACCCAGAAATCCACTCGCCTCCTGATTAGAAGCAGCTTCTCTCCTACTTCTGATGTGTTCTCCCAACACAGGGCCATAGGACCGGAGTCAAAAGTGCCCGCTCAGAGGAGGGGCAGCAGGTCCAGGGAGGTCTTGGGGCTGGTGGCAGAACGGGCCAGAGCAGCTCACACGAGGCAACTTCTCATCCCTTGGTCCTCCTTCCAAGCCACCTCCCCCCTCCCCTCCCATCCGGGCACTCGGCCTGGGCAGGGACGGAGGATGGACAGGTGGCTGTCCAGGTGCCGGGACTCAGAGCCTCCCCCAGCGAGCTCAGCCTGCGTCAGCCGGCTTCAGACCCAGGCGCCACCCCTGCCCCCTGTACACCCTCATTCCCATAAAGGGTGGGAGGGCCAAGCATGGGGTTCCTGCAGGTGTGTGTGTGTGTCAGCCTACAGTAGTGCTCAGGGCCTCTGATTTCTGAAGCCCAGGAGGGGCCCCTGCGCTGCCCCCAACCATTCCTGAGATCCTGGAACAGGGACCCTGCCCTGAGATGATGAGGGTTGCAGAGGGGTAGAGCCAGCTTCCTGAATAGGGTCCAGGAGATAAGCCAGCATCCTCGCAAACATCGCCTCTGCCAGCTCCTCCTACCCCGCCCCCTGCAGGCTCCCTCCTCAGCTCCAGGCCCTCCTGAGGTGCCCAGGAGGATGGCCTGAAGCAGTGATTTGGGAGTTAAACTGCTCAGATTCAAATCCCAGGTCTGCCAGGCACCGGCTGGGAAACCTGGGGCAGGTTACTTCACCTCTCTGGGCCTCAGTTTCCTCCTCTGCAAAATGGGAATAATTCCAATCCCTTTCTCATAAGGTTGTGAGGGTCACGTGTGGGAACTCACAGGAGGTGTTAGGGGCAGCGCCTGGCGGGCAGTCAGCACTCAAGGGTTAGCTCTGATACGGGTTATTATCCCTCCCCCTGCACTTCCTCCTGGCAGCTCTCTCTCTGTTTTTACCTTCTAGCACTGCCCCTGGTGCCTCTCCCTCCCACCCCCAGCTCTCTCTCTGTAGTCACAGAGTTACTGCTTAGTGAGGACATCTCCTGGGGCTGGCAGATCTCCCCAAGCTCCCCTCCCTCCCATCCCCACCCCAGCCTGGAGTGGAGGGGCAGAGGCAAGGACCGCCCTGGGGACCCCATGGGCAGGGGGATTGTGACAACCTGGCCGGAGTGGGGCTCTGGCATCTCCGCAGCTCTCACTGTCCCCGCAGCCCAGCCGAGAGGGAGGGAAGCGCTGGATTAACATTCTCCTCAGAAAACATTCCTCTCCTTCACAACAGCCATGCCCATCCCGTCCCCCACCACCCCCGCCAGCTCCTCCCTCTCTGCCTCCCTCTTGCTGTCGCCCAACACTTAGAGCACCAACTGTGTATTTGGCACTGTTCCAGGTGCTGGGGATGCTACACCTTCCTATTGCACCCTCATGGGACAAGAGTCAGCAAGAAGTCAGACTCCAGCAGGCCTGACCAACGACGGCTGTCCTACTCTGGGGCCATCTGTTCGCCCTTCTCTTTCCTCTCTGCCTGCCTTCCTCTGCCCACAAAGCCCAAGACCTCATCTCCCCACATCCAAATCTTCCTGGTGCATCAAGGCCCAGCTCAAGTGCCACCTCCTCCAAGCAGCCCCCCAGGAGCCTTCATCCTCCAGAGAGCCTGCTCAGACCTCCCTCAGCACCAAGTAGGGCTGCCCCAGGGGCACCGAGCACATCCTCCCTGTCCTCCCACGTGTTAGGTATTTGGCCAACTTATCAATTCAACAAGCGTTCTGAGGCGCCCCGCGTTGTGCTGGGCAAGGCCACTGGGGAGACACCGAGGGGAACTGGGCTCATGCCACCCCCAAACCCAACACTCACTGCATCTGGGGGACACCCTGGGGAGGAGGCAGGTGGGATGCCCATGAGTGGCACACAGTGTGTCTGTGGCCGGCACCCCGCAGAGCCTCACGCTTACAAAAGTACAAAAAGGGTGAGTGACTGAAGGGGGAAATACATGAATAAACACTCTCTCTCCCTCTCTCTCTCTCCCTCTCTCTCTCTCTCTCTCTCTCTCTCTGGCTTCTGGAGTGACAAGGAGGTCCCTGCCACATGGGAAAGACAAAAGCTGCTTCCGGGCTTGAGCAACAATGAAGATGAATGTCAAGCACATGTGTGTTTGTGTGACACGTGCACGTGCGAGCACATGCTGGAGCATATGCCCTGAGCACACAGCACACTCGTTGATTTATTCCTCTTACCAATAGTCACCGAGCGCCAGCGACCTGCCAGGCACAGCTCTGAGAGCAGGGGTAGGTGGTGGACACTGCCCCGTGGTGCACCCCATGTAGACAGGGGCAGGCGATGGAAAGGCGATGCAGGGCTGGTAGATAGCGATGGGGGGCAGGAGAAAAAAGAAA